AGTTTTGAAAACCAAAATGCAACAGAAATATTATTTTTTACTAAAAAAGTTTTATTTTTATTCTTTGAAAAAATCACATTATAGTTACCATGTTACATTAAATTGTTTATGTTGGTAGTACCGTTTAAATCTACTTGTATTTATAACATCAAATGTAACACATTTCCTTTAGAGCTACAGGGTGTTACGTTTACATACCTACATAAAAAATTCTGTTCTGTTAATACACGTTTATTATCAAAACTTTTCCGTACATTTTGTAACTTTTGTTTATTTTATAAATAATTAATCTTCACCATCATAAACTAACAAGTAATCATCGATTTGGTACATTATTTGTATATTGTTTTGGCTTTTCTGGATGCATTGTTAAAAACGTTAAAATTTTCTTTTCCATTTCAAATACTCTTCTATTAATTTATTAAGCTCAAAAACAAACACTTCTTGATATATAATTTGCCTTGGATATTCTGCTACATGTGTTAACTAAGATTTTGATTATAAATATTGAACATTATACTTATATGCAATAAAAGGTTTGCACAGAAATCATAATTTTAAACTGGAAACCGATTGTAGATTTACAATTTATTGTGCAAAAATTATATATTTTGCAAACCTAATGTTAAAAAATGCAAATAATTTATAACGTTTTCTTGAAAAACTATTTATTTATTTAATCTGAATATTTATATATACAGTTTTTATATCCATACAATATCTTTTCAAAAACTGTTAAGTGTTGTCGGTAAAATAAGATTGTTGAGCTCATTCTTATGCAGATTTATTCTTAAGCGTAGACTTTGTTCTGTAAGCCTAATATAGGTTTTGATCTAATATTTGCAATCTATCATACATGATTTTTGTTTTGCGTATATAATATTTTAAAATTAAAGACCTAGTTATAAAATGTCAGTTTAGATCTAATAGATTTAATTGATAAACAACGTTGATTGAATTTGTCGTTTTATTTTTGTGAAAGTCTTATTCAAAATATACTGTTTTTTATTAATCATTTTAAAATGTCATATTTCTATATGTTACTTAAAAAATGGCATTATTTACATCACACAACATTGTTTCTATACTTTTTTCTGACTTCTAACTATTAGTTCTTAATTGCTAAATATTTTCTCATAGATTATTTACAGATTGTATTCTACCTCATTACTGTCGCAACTCTGTATTTTCTCTACGTAGTCTTTTGATATTCTCTAGTGTATTTCATATTTTTCTTATTGTATAGGTACTTTTAACACATTTATTGTAAACTACTGTTACACGTACATCTTTGTAATATTTATATTACGTTTAGAAAAGCCTGATCAAATTATGTATTATTAACATAAAAATTAGAAAAAATTAATATTATAAGATATTTTGACTTTATACATGTTTAATCTCTACTCTATTTTTTATATATTTCTTCCTAATTCTTCTTTTCTGAAAATTTCTGGTTTTATCTTCCTATACATGCCCCCTCCAAACTCCTACTTCTGACAAATATTAATTTCTTGGACTGTTTACTTCTAAAAAAAAACAAATAATGTAAAAACTAAAAATAAATATAAATATAAATAATGCTGAAGAGAAAAATTCACATATTTAAGTATACCCGGATACGTAAAAACGTAGAAAACATTTTTTTAATTACAGATATCAAATCAAACGTTAAATCCAAATTGAATGGAATTACTATACTGTAATATATTTTAATGTGTTTTTCTAATTAGAACCAATTTATTTTTACATTTTTCTTTTGATATAAATATTTATCTGTATAGTCTTTAATACCAGTAATATTTTTGTAATATTAGAATTATTTAAAATTTGAGTTATAAGGCTCTCTGTTCCTGTGAGAGAAAAATTCACTCTGCCCAAATACTTACGGTATTACAAGAATAATTGAGTTCTGGGGCAACTTTTTCTGCGTTTTCGAGCCCTAGGTGACTTGATACCGCGGACGCACAAATTTCTGCCGCATTTGTACGTCGCTTTTTGCATGGCTTTATGAAAATGATTACTAAGACCCAGCTGTTTGATGTTGTCTAGGGGGATCTTCAGAATAACACTAGTAGTTAAGAGAAAAATAAGTACACTTTGGCACCTTTTATTTTCCATTTTTTCTTTATTTACATCTATAATGTCTATAATTGACGATTTTTTATCGTATTTAATACGCAGATTGTTGTTGTTAGGTATCGCGATAAAAAGGCATTCTTTGCCCGCTGTTTTTGTTACCTAGTGAGAAATACGAATGAACTTATCTAAAAAACTGATATGGTCTCTTTACATAAGTCCTCGTTTGTTAGCTAACCCTTGATAATATGCTAATTCTGACATTCCTATTTGTCAGTAGCTTTTATTTCCCAGTTCGTTAGGTTAAGTCTTCTCGCATCATCTTTCACTACGTTGCTCCATCTTGGCATTGATCTTCATCTTCGCCTTTTGCTTGTCAATGCACTAGAAAGGATTATTTCGGCAATTCGACATGACACCATTCTCTGACCATGATCCAACCATTTAAGCCTTTGCCCTTTAATTACTGCTAATATGTTGGGTTCTTGATAGAGCTCAGTAAGCTCATTATTTGTTTGTCTTATCCATTGTCCATTTAAGTTTTTCTCACCAACCAAAGATTTTGCGCAGTTTTTTTCGCTCCCAAACCAATAACCAGTCTTGGTGTTTTTTGTGACCCATGCAGTAGTATTTGCCACAATCGCTTATTACGGTGTTACAGATTCTTAGTTTTGCTTTTCTAAATATATGTTTGCTTTTTAACAGCCTATTGAAATCACATATGGCGCGGTTGTTCGACATAAAACTCAAATTTTTTAACTTCTTACAATTTATATAGTATTCCCTTTGTTGTTGTCATTGTTATATATTGCTCCCGAACGAATTGTTTATTTGTCCGTTCATATAGTTTGTTTTTGTTTAATTTATATACCTTTCTTTGAGTTTAATATATGTTTTTATCAGTTCTATCCTGCTTCTAGCCAAGATTACCAAGATTAGACATTTGTAAATTTTAAACACTGATGATTTTTATGGTAGATTAGACCTGTTCTATTAATATTTGCTTTCTGTATAACATTTACCTGTCGCACTCCTTGTTTGATCTTAAAGTTGTCTATTAAACTTTTGTATATCTTGATTTTAGTCACTGTCCTTTTAAGACTTAATTTTTTAAGAGATGTTATCAACAACTCCTCGTAGACATTTTGTCTTAGTTGCAACAATGTAACTTTAAATTAATTTGACTATATTCAAAGGGTTGTACCCTTATATTTAGTGGTTTTACACATTTATACCTAAAAGCACTGATGATGAAATAGTCATTCCGAAACGTTCTGCGATGTACCTGGAAAGGGTGTTTTTTATATTAATATAACTTTTACATGGGATTTTTTAAATAAAATTATTGTGATTTATGGTATACAGTCGACTAATGCAAATTAATTTTCCTTGTGGATGTTAATTTGATCATTCTAATAATAGCAAGATATGGACAAACGTGCTTATCCCTCAATGCTGTGGATAATTCCCTTCTTTTCAATTAGTAAAAATCCTGTTAAAAGTCAATGAAAGGGACTATCGTGCCTTTATTGTATTCGTTACTTTCAGCCTGTATTTCTCATAGTATGAAGAAATGATCTACAGTATAACTTACTGTAGATCGTTCTGCCTTTTCTAAACTTACGCCGATATTCTCCTGCGCTTTTATCAACCTTCGTTGCGAATCTGTTCTTGTTGAGCAGAGCTATGCCTCGATAATTCTGACATTCGGACATATTTTTTTTTGTGGATAAGGCATAATATTGCTTATATCCATTACTCAGGTAATACTTCTTGTTTCATATATGTCTTTAATTTGCTTCCGAATTTTATCTGCTAACTGATGATCTCCAAATTAAATCATTTCATTCGTTATGCAGCCTCTTGCTAGATTCTAGTTCATTTTTAAGTACGTTAAGATTAATAAGTTAGTAATAATAAGTATTTAGCTGAAGAATTTGTTACAATAATAAAGCCATCCTAAAATAAATCAATATTTAATTCTGCTGTCAGCAATTATTAAGAAGATTTTCAACAAATTTACAATAGTCCAGATCAAAAGAAATATTTTTCTAACACTTAATAAATTACAATTCTATTAAATTTAACATGTATTATAAGGAATTCAAATAATCTAAACATGTGATTAATGTGGTAGTTTAAATTTTCTATAAAAGTAATATGTTTTCACGAAAAACAAAGTTTGTTAAAAAATATATTTATATAAAACTTTTGTTTAATTCTCATCGTAATGAAAGACATGAAAAGTATTTTTAAAATTGGCCAGAGTTGCATTTGTTTTAAATCAAACAATTTATTTTTAATAAGATATTTTAAAATCACCTTTCCATCTACACTTCAATATTTAAAACGAATCAGTTGCATGCACACACGATCCTCAATTTCAAATCTAATTTAAAATGAACGTAGTGTCGACATAAAACGCATGTTGAAATATCATTTTACTTACGAGCGTATTGTTTTCAGATCTATCTACAATTATACTAACCTACGAAGGGTCAACCATAGAACATCTGCTAGTTAACAATCGAAACAAGAGAAACGAGAGAGAAAAAAGATCAACCCTTCATTGCTTTACACAGTATTTACTCACACATATCTCAGTCGGTTTTCAGTAAAGTAATCGCTGAGATTGAGGTGCAATAATTACAAGAAAAATTAGTACAAATATCAACGACGTGACGTTAGCCGTTCAAGTAACGGCATTTTTTACAATCGGTTTTAAATAACCTGTCAAAATTTTCACAACGGAGGAACAAAACATACTTAGTAATTTAAAAGTTGAACATGAGAATCTTGTAGCAAAGTGGCTGCAAAATTCTTTCAAATTACAAGAAAATACCGCCCTTGACCTCAGGGCGACACCGCTAACACCTCTACAAATACCAATGGCGGAGGTTAACAATAGACCAGTTTTTAAGATGAACAACGACTTCTGGAATCAGGCGCGAGGACCACCTCAGAATCTGCCTCAGAATCTATCTAATTCGAATCAAAATTCGCCTGTACCAGGGTCTACCAATTCCATACCTGCACATTCACCGAGTCAACAAAGTAACAGTAGTCAGATTCACGTTGTGACGCCAGGAGCTTTGGCTTTACAACAAGCCAATCAGCAAACGCAACAAAATAATCAAGCACATGCGCAGCAACAAGCACAGCAACAACAACAGCAAGCGCAGCACAATGCCCAACAGCAAGCGCAACAACAACAAAATGCACAACAACAGGCACAGCAACAAGCTCAACAGCAAGCGCAGCAACAGGCTCAGCAACAGGCGCAGCAGCAACAACAACAGCAACAGCAACAGAACGCACAGATGAACCAACAACAACAACTTAATCAACAGCAACAACCACAAACTAATGGACCTAATCAGCAACAAAATCAGCAGTCCCAATTATCACCGCATATGGGAAGTCCTAACCCACACGCACAAGCAGCTCATGCTCATGCATTAGCTCAAGTCGCTCAGCAGCAGCAGCAAATGGTCAACATGCACCAACAATTGACCAGCGGTCAATCGTCTCCTGACAAACTGATGACAGAGAAGATCGTAAATGAATTACAGGTAGGTTTTGGAAACTTTTATTCTTTGGCATGTTGTGAATGTGTTTTAATCAACTGGAGAATTTGCTTGTTTGATAATAATAGAAACCGACTCTTATTACAGCTACAATAAAAGAATAAGTACACAATTAATTTATATACAACTTGGACAAGTAATAAAGGAATTTTGTTCATAAAGATTTTAATTGCTTCTTTTTAGATATCGAAGCGACGAAAATTTTATAATTTTTAATTACTTATCTCTACTATCAATGAGATTTTATGAATATTACAGGAATAAATGAGACATTACGTGCAATATTTCTATCATAGTGGATTACCAGACTGTCAAACACTTTTATGATCAATTAAAGATATTGTAATCATTTGCATTTAGACAGTTTTATAAATAATAAATTTTAAAAATTTAGTTAAGCACTGATTTCATGTAATTATGTGGCTTATTTTTATTATATCTTCTTATTAAATATTTTCCTTTACAATCTCTTTATCTAATATATTTTAGTAATAATTTTTTTATTTATTTTTTGTCTGAAATTCGTTTTTCCTTAATTAATTTTTGTAATTCTTATAATTTTTTCAATTCCTAATCGTAATTCCCTCATGAATGCCACCAAAAATATTTTAAAATTTTTTTTTAGTAAATAACTATTGTTTTTACTTAAGAGTTTCATCGTTTATATAATGGTGCTATTTACTAATGGGCGAATAGCTTTTAAATAACTGAATAATATAGCTTTTTTTGCGCTTGTATTTCCGCATTTTTATAATCATTGTCATCATCAAAATTTGTATATTTTAATTGAAAAATATTTTTGTTTTACTTATCTCATTACTAAATGCACATAAAGATAATAAGAAACATTTTTCTTACAACTCTCACCTATACAATAGTTAAACTTAGGTGTTATCATACAAAACAACTCATCTCGTATAATAACATAAAACGTGTAAACTCATGAACAAAATAAGAAATTTTAGGAATTCTTATAATTCTTTAAATAAATTAACAAACAAGCAAAACTCCTTTTACTGTTTATTTTATTCTATTTTATTTAATTTTATTTTATTTTATTTCGTTCTAATAACATGAATATACCAGGAACTGTTTAGCATTTGATAAGACAATATTGCATTTCTAACCTCAACCTTGCCAATGAAATCACAAAATCAATTTGGCACCTATCTAGTCAGGTAAACATTTATACTGTGTAATTGAACTAGACGAGTTAAGATAAAGTGTGCTAAGATAATGATATTTAAAAAGTACATACAGTGTGTCCCCAAATTAAATACGAATTATACAATTGAATTTCTACAGCTGAATTTTAAAATTTATAGATCTATTTGTGCTTTGGTATTATTAATTAAAGCTTTGGATTTTATTTTGAATTTTGTTTAAGGCTTTAGCTATTAATGTTTGGTATTAAATTATTTCGTTTATAGAGCTCTTTGAGAATGTAAACCATGTCAATTGTGGCAAAGATAATTTCAGGAGACATTTATTTATTATCTACATACATAGATTTTTTACGAAAAAAAACAGCTTTTATCTAAAAATTTAATCAAGACAAAACTATTGTAGGATGATAGTATACAACGGCTTTGAGCGCTATATTTTTTGGGAATTTGTAAAGGTTTTCCATTAGAATTCAAAGTCAAACTTACAATATTCCACTGCAATATTTTTGCGCTTACTAAAAACATTGTTTGAAAACATCTTTTGGTGATTTTATCAACTTTCCCCAACTGGCAATCTATGCTTTTTCTGCATTTAATTCATCATATTATTACATTACGGGTATAGCTACCATACAATGTACATTTAAACATAAAATCTACTTGTTACATTTTTATCCTCCTTCCCTAATATTTCGGTCATTCATCACTCTTCTGATGTTCTCATTCCATGATTCGATTACTTCTTCTACAAGCCTATTTTCCACTCTTTTCAGATTACGCTTTTCTTTCTTTTTGTTATTACTTTTAGTTATGTGTTTTATTTCGAATTCTAGTCTATTTTGGAATAGATTTTTGATGCTGTCTTGTTTTAGGAAAAAATCTTATATTTCTTCCAATAGCTCCGTTTAATTTTACTTGCAAAATAAGCTCTTACAATCCCTTGTTTTAACCCAAAGCTTTTACTACAGTCTTGTCGTTTTTCTTTTATTTACCACAGAAGAATACAATATAGTTTTCTATACTTGTATAGAACATATCAAAATGTCACTTTTACAGTGTACTATAATATGGAGTGGAATCATGGACGTTAAATCTAGGCACAATGAGACGACTTAACACCTTTGAAATGTGGACCTATAAAAGAATTATGAGGGTTTCCTGGGTAGATAGAGTTACGAACAATGAAGTACTGATAAGAATAGGTAAAGAGAAGGAAGTTCTTCTTCTTCTTCTTCTTCTTTTATAAGCAAAATGCTTGTTCAATGTCGATTAATGCCTCTATTGGAGGTTATCACTCCATCTTTTGCGTGGTTGCCCGATACTTCTTCTACCTTTTGGTGATTTGTCCCCCGCTATTTTGACTAATCGGGTCTCTTCCATTCTGTTTATGTGTTCGTTCCATTCCTTTTTTCTGTTCAGTGTCCACTCATTTATTTCTGGTATATTGCATTTTCTTCTGATCTCTTCACTCCTCATTCGATCCCTCAGTGTGTTTCCTGTAATTCTCCTCAGTAAACGCATCTCCTCTGTTTCTAGTAGTTGCTGAGTTTTGGAGGTATCCGGTCTTGTCTCTGAAGTGTATGTCATTATTGGTCTTATTGTTGCTTTGTAGATTCTTGATTTCACGTCGGTATTAATGTGGGGATTGCGCCATATCGTGTTATTAAGACAACCTGCTATTTTATTAGCCTTTTGTACTTGATTTTTCACTTCCTTCTCTACATCTCCGTAGCTAGACAGTGTAATTCCTAGGTAATTTGTCTCCATTACTTGCTCAATGCTGATACCGTCGATTTCCAGTTTACATCTAATTGGTTCTTTACTGATTACAATTGTTTTAGTTTTCTGTGTAGAGATCACCATATTAAAGTCCTTTGCCCTTGTGTTGAATCTATGGGTTAGTCTTTGTAGATCGTCTTCATTGGATGCAATTAGGGCCGCATCATCTGCATAGCAGAGTATTGTGATTTCTTTGTTTCCCATTTTGTATCCTCTTCCTTTATTAATAGTATTGATGATTTCATCCATGATTAGATTGAATAGCGTTGGACTAAGCGAGTCTCCTTGTCTTATTCCATTGCCCATATCTATTGGATCTGTAAGCTGGTCATCTATTCTGACTTTCATATTGTTGTTCTGGTAAATGTTCTCTATTGTTTTTATAACATCTAGTGGAATTTCTCTATCGTAAAGAAGGTGAATTACATCTTTAAGCTTTACTTTATCGAACGCTTTCTTCAGGTCTATTAGACATATGAATGCTGGTCTGTTATACTCTAGTGCTTTCTCGGTAATCTGTTTTATGATGAATACTGCATCTGTGCACGATCTTCTTGTGCGAAAACCCTGCTGTTCATCCGCTAAGGTAATTCTCTGATTTATTTGGCCTTGCAATATTTTGGTTGTAAGCTTCAAAGTGGTGTTTAATAAGTTGATACCTCTGTAGTTTTCAGGTTGTTTTTTTATCTCCTAGAAGGAAGTTGAACTAACAATTAAAGATAGAAAGCTACAGTATCTCGGACATGTGATGCGGGGCGAGAAATATGGCATCCTGCAACTCATAATGCAAAGAAAGATAGATGGCAGAAGAAGCATCGGAAGAAGACGAATTTCATGGCTTAAGAACCTGAGAGAATGGTTTCGATTCAGCTCAAAACAACTATTTAAAGCCACTGCCTCAAAAATTAAAATAGCTATGACGATTGCCAACCTTCGTAGCGGAGATGGCACCTGAAAAAGAAGAAGATACTTATACATTTTTGTTAATAGAGACGAGCCTGGTGTTTTGAGAAAAGCAACTTTCTGTGACATATTCTTTGAGTACGTAGCAGTTCAATAGCAAGTTTAGCAGAAACCAAATTCATCATAATTTGACTTAGAATGTACAAGTTTGAAAATATAAGTTCTAAGTGTCATTGGGTAAAAAGTTTGAGCCTACCAATCTAAAGAATAAACGTTTAAAAGATTGCATTTAGTCTGGAATGAATTCGGACGGATGTTCTTTTGTTAGTTAGGAAAATTTCTAGAATTCAGTATTATGTAACAAAAGAATCACTGATTTGAGCTCCAAACTTGACTGACTAGGATCTAATATCATTCCATGCTCAAAGAATAAAAATATAATTGTTTCTGTGTTTATACTATGAAAATGTATTAATATATTTGTCAACTGGTAGACGTACATTTTGACAATGATATTCTTTTTAAAGATCGTTTTCTTTCTAAAGGCCTGTCGAAAACAATATTTGATGTTTTTTTTAACAGATTGGTTTCGTTAAGTAAGAACTTAGTAAAGTAATTTTTACTGCCGAAAAAACCCAACCCCAAGTAGGATCTCCAAAATGCGTAGGAAGTTGTACATTTGAAACAGGAAATGCAAATGTAACAAAATTATCGACATTATGCGGCAAGCCATTTGTCGCAGGAACAAACCTGGTACCATAATGTATGGCTTTCGTCAAACTAAATATACGTTCAAGTTGTTTACTGTAAGTAAAAAGATGCTACGGTCGAAAGCGATCATTACCCGAAGATTAATTGTAGGTAATATGAAGATAATAACGTTTAGAAATAAGAAAAAATTCAGTTAATTCCAAACAAGCCGCCACTGACATCTGGCCACAACATATGCGGTTAAAAAAGTTTAAATCTAATCGTCGCTCGACCAAGGAGGCAGTACAGAAGGCCGAGTAAAAAAATAATATAACCCTTTTTTCAAGTAATTTTTTCACATTTTGCTATAATATTGGTTATTAATATCACGATATACCTGAATGAACGGTGAATAGAAAATATTTGGTAGAATATAAACATTTTATA